ACACTGCACAACACTCACACTCGACACACACTCACACTCACACTTACACTGCACACTCACCCACAAACACAGTCAACACACACACACGCGGGACAGAATGCAACACACTAACACACACACACTGCATACACCAAACACACTGCCACCACACTCACACTCCACACTCACTCACGACTCCACACATACACACACACTGCACCACTATACTGCATCATACACAACAACACTGGCATACACACACACACTTGCACACACCACCACACTCACACTCACACACACGACACACACTTCATACTTACATCACATCACACACAACACAGTCACACCACACACACACACACGGGGACAGAGTGCAACACATTTTACCCTCACACACCACTCTGTTTTATAATAACTCACCACACACACACACACACACACTGCACACCACACACACTGCTACACCACACACTGCATACATACTGCAGACATTACACACACAAACACATGCATACATTACACACATCTACTGCATACATCACCACACTACACACTGCAAATACTAGTACACACAAACTTTGATGCGCACACACTACACATGTGATACATCACCACGAAACTGCATACACACAACACACACACACTATACTCACTACATACTCACAAAAACAACAATCGCTACGACAACACGTCACGACTTTCAAGCGACACTACACACAACCACGTACACACACAGACACAGCAGTCACTTTAGACTTCCACTCACACACCACAAACACCAGTCTGCACTACAAGCGCAAACCACACCGCAGACATCATCACACAAATGAACACACTCATACACACACACTTAACATCATAACACACACAACTGCACCATCACACACACTACCACATTACTTCACACACACAACTCACACTTCAACCACACACTACACATACACAGGCATCACTCGCACACACTGCATATACTGCATACACACACACTGCTATACACTCACTCACCACACAAACTGTTACACCACTCATTCCACACTACTGCACCAAACCACACACATGCATACACACTCACCAACTACACACACACAATGATCAAACAAGTTGACAACAATCACTCTTACACCACATCACACACACTTGGTTTTATACTCACACTGCAGCACCACCAAAACTACTCATACACCACACATACAACGACACTCAACACTGCATACACACTCACACTCACACTCACTCCACTCACACCATACACAACACTGCATACATACTCATACACACACACACACCACCACACACTGCTATACACACACAACACCACTCACACACACACCCATCTTACATTCACCTAAAAATCATCACTACACACACAGACTCAAAATACAGCACTATTACACACCAACATACACTCACCACACACACAAACTCGCACACACACATACTGCCATACAACAACTTCATTATGCATTACTCTACATACTCCAACCAACTCAGCTATAGCCAACTACACTACTACACAGCACACAAACATACACTTAACTCACACACACAAAACTGGTCAACAGCAGTCTTCTCACTGCATCATATACACACCACCACTACACACTTCTGTCATACACTCAACACACACTACAACACAACACACACACTCACACAACCTTACATACCACACTCCACTATTACAACACCACACTGCACCACACGACATCACTGCCACACCCACACACACACACTGCATACATACACACACAATTTGCATACACACTGCATCATCACACACACACAACTGCATACACACTCACACACACACACTGCACACACACACACACACACACCACATACTGCACACACACACACACTGCATACACACTCATTCACACACACACTGCATACACACTCATTCACACACACACTGCACACACACACACACACACTGCATACACACTCACACACACACTGCACACACACACACACACACTGCATACATACACATACTGCATACATACTGCATACATACACACACACACTGCATACACACTCACACACACACTGCACACACACACACTGCACACACACACAATGCACACACATACTGCATACACACACACACACTGCATACACACTCATTCACACACACTGCATACACACTCATTCACACACACACACTCACACTCACACACACTCACACTCACACTCACACTTACACTCACACTCACCCACAAACACAGTCACACACACACACGGGGACAGAATGCAACCACACTACAACACACACACACACTGCATACACACACACAACTCACACTCACTCACACAAACTCACACTCACACTCACTCACACTCACACTTACACTTACACTCACACACACACAAACACACACACACACACACACACACGGGCAACACACTGCAACACACACTCCACACACACACAACACACACACACACACACTCACACACACACACTGCACACACACACACACACTGCAACTCACACACTCATTCACACACACACTGCACACACACACACACACTGCATACACACTCATTCACACACACACTGCACACACACACACACTGCACACACACACTAAATCAAATAACTCAACAATGTTTTTGTAACTTATAATCCAAATCAACAATTGACTGGTTAAGAAATTAAAATCTAAAAGCTACAGACCCTAGAAAACCAGAATCAAAAGATATACAAACTTAAAAAGCATGTATCAACCATCAATCGAAGCCCAGAGCAACGGCAAGCTATGATTGAAAATTCTAATCTCAATTTGACCCTAAAAATCAAAACCCTAATTTGTTCAAGTGCAGATGTCTATAATTGAAAATTTATCAAACCCAAAACACCTAAATCAAATAAAGCCCAGTAATATCACGATCTGCAAAAAAAAATCGAAGAAATAATGTCGGATTCGAAGTTTACCAGATGAGGGCGAGCAGGATGGAGTTGAGGGCGAGCAGGACGCAGAGATGAGGATGAGGAGGACGAAGATGAGGGAGCAGGGCAAGGAGGGAGCACGGCGAGGATCGAGGTTGAGCGAGGTTCTCTCTCGCAGGAGCGCAGGAGCGCAAGAGGTCTTACGAGTCCGGGGGTGATCGGGGTGCTTCGCTTAGAACTCGTAGTGAGGGGTTTAATCCCAGCGAGTCAGACCTAATCCCATTAAACCTAATCCTGGTGCAGACCAAACAAGGGACTACAGTCCAGTCCAGTCCAGTCCTCCCTAATCCGGTCAAACAAACGGGTCCTAAACAATTGTGAGTCATCACCATCATCATCAATATAAGTAGAAACTGCACATGAAGGAACATTGGACTAATATGCATCATGATTTGCGCATCGGCCACATAACCTCACGAAATATGTGAGAAAAAAAAACACGCATATGGCTAATATGCATACGCAATTGCTCCAATCAACACACACATACCAAGGAACAATATAACTAGGAGAATTAAGAAGTGAATTACTGTAGTAATCGTATTGTCACCCACATTGGCCCTTCTTATGTGTTTTTTATGGATGACTAATGTGTCAAAAAAGTTTCTATTTAAGAATCTTTAAATTGATTAAATGTACGAGAAAATTTTTCGTGTGATAAAAATATTAATCATGTCATCATCACATATTATAATACTTTGATAAGTGGATTACTAAGATATAGCATGTACTCGTAATTTATTTCTAGATATACCATGTTGAAAACCGAATTATATAATGTCACCGACGGTTGAATTTGTGGTGTATTTTAATGGAAGAGGATCCTCTCTTGAGCTCAGGATGGGGATTCTCTTGACCAACGCATCTAGACCGTTCAAAATTAATCTAACGGCTCCAAACAGGCAAGCACTCTAAAAGTTATAATAATTGTAACTGTTGGATTAAATTTGAACGGCCTAGATGAGCTAGTCAAAAGAATCTCTATCCTGAGCTCAGGAGAGGATCCTCTTCCTATTTTAATAACTAAGTGATGTGTTTTAGGCTTTTTAGCTTTTGCAAGCCACTTTATACGAAGTCTTGAAAGAAGAAAGTGGAAAAGATGACGACTGGCCCATAAATGGCTGTTTTTAAGAGAATCTTTATTGAAATCTGTCTATATTTGTCGGTGTGGAACATGAGGGAATTTAGGCTAATCGCATAGGGCAATTCTCTCAGAATTAACGATGTTAATTTGAGCATCTAATTCAAAACGAATTGTCTTTAACACTTTTAATACTTAGTGAGATTAAAATACAAAAGATCATATTTTTTTATAAAATTAATCGAATCATTCATGTGATCAAGTAGTCCGATTAAAGATGTTCCTTGGTAGGTAGAGTTGAAGTTTCTTCGAAATGACTGGTAAACTATAAGTCAACCTTAGAAATGGAAGAACACAGAATAACTTGGTGAAGTTAAAAGACTTCCACTTTCTCCCACTCAAGGCCAAAAGACGTAAATCAAGATTTCTAGGACAGATTCCAAGAGAAATACTCCGTAGTGATTTGTGACAATTATACAATGTTACGTAATAAAATTTTTACAGTATAAAATTATATTATTGACAAAAAACGTTACAATAGTACCATATTGTTTTGTGTCAATTATATAATATTAAATGTAAACTTTTTACCATATAGAGTTATATTATTGACAAAATACACTACAATTATGCAAGTTAGTCTCAACTTCAAAAAATACTGAAAGACGCATTAAAAAATGGAAGCTTTAACGAAAAGCATTCGGTACTGTTCACTTTAAAGTCAATACCACATTTTTACACTAAAAAGTCAATCCTGATACTATTCACTTTACCCTTTATTTTGTCCTTATCATTAAAACTCAAAGTTTCAAACACTTTTCATTAGTTTTCATTAAAAAATTTGGAGGGTTTGTCTAAAACGCATTGAACAGTGAGCTTCCACTTCGCTATAAATCCCACCAACCCCTCTCACATTCTTCACACTTATCAGCGAAGTGAGATCCTCAAGCCCTTTTTCAAATATTACTTTTTCATATCTTGAAGCAGGCAATGATGCTTCGTGCTCATCTTAAGCATCTCAGTCCCTTGAACTCAGTTGTTGCAGCAGCAGCAAAAACCACCAATCCAGATCGTGCCACGTCAGTCAATGGCAGACCAGGGTTGCTCCAAACGACTGGTCCAATGAAACTACTCCCCGCCGGTTTCTTGTGCATGACTGATGTGGCAAAATCTCAGCCGTTAACTGTGGTTTCATCAACTGCCAAGCCATCCCAGAACATCACCGTTGATCATCACCCAAAAGATGACGACAAGAAGATCAAAGGGACGGTGGTGTTGATGAAGAAGAATGTTTTGGAGCTCAACGACCTCAAAGCTTCATTTCTTGATCGTTTCCATGAGCTGCGGGGTAAAAAAGTTTCACTGCAGCTCATTAGTTCTGTTAATTGCGACCCTGGTAAGAATTTTATTACTAATTTACTTATTTTTAAGTTCACATATTACGTGCATTTTTAGTTTTATGGTTTACTTTTTATTTAATTAGTTTATTAGCTTCAGTTCACAAATATTTGATATTATGGTGCCAAGTAGGTAAATTATTAGTAATGGTTCAGATTTTTTATTTATTTTTTTGTTACAAAGGAGGTTTCAAACCCTGAATCTCTAGCCTACTGATACTCATCGCCTTAGTTGCTCCGGTTTTTTGTGTTAAGAAAACAAATTTGGAGGAATTATAATCCAAAATTTTCGGCTTTTAACTTGATATGTTATTGTAGAAAATGGGTTGCAAGGAAAGGTTGGAAAGGCAGCATATTTGGAAGATTGGATTACCAAAATCACTCCTTTAACAGCTGAGGAGAATGCATTTGACATTACTTTCGATTGGGACGAGGAGATTGGAGTCCCGGGAGCATTTATAATTAGAAATGAGCATCACAGTGAGTTCTACTTGAAGTCTCTCACACTCGAAGATGTTCCTGGCGAAGGTCGAGTCCACTTTGTTTGCAACTCGTGGGTGTACCCTGCTAAAAAGTACAAAAAGGACCGTGTTTTCTTTGCTAACAAGGTAAACAAATTATGTTTTAGCTGATAGACTGCTTTGTTATGCTAGAAATAATGAGAAGGTTCGTTTCAATTGCTCAATAGTCTCCGGTACAGCTACACGTAGGGTTTACGAATTGTATGCTGAAGTAACCAATTGAACTATAAATTTGCGCAGACGTATCTTTCAAGTGATACACCAGTGCCATTACAGAAGTTCAGAGAAGAAGAGCTCGAAAACTTGAGAGGAGACGACGATGATGAAAAAAGAGAGCTTGAGGAATGGGACAGGGTTTATGGCTATGCCTACTACAATGATTTGGGAAAACCAGATAAGGGCCCAGAATATGCGCGTCCAATTCTCGGAGGGTCTAGTGAGTTTCCTTATCCTCGCAGAGGAAGAACCGGAAGACAGGCAACTGAAAAAGGTCAGTCAATTTTCCCTATCTCTCAGTCAGTCAAATGAAAAAAACGTATTTGATATGACTAATTTGCTACAATCTTAACAGATCCTAAGAGTGAGAGCCCCATGATGCTTATCATGAGCATATTTGTATACGTTCCAAGAGACGAAAGATTTGGTCACTTAAAGATGTCAGACGCGATTGCTTATGCCGTGAAATCGCTATCTCAGCTCGTTAAGCCTGATGAGCTAGCAACTCTAGTTGCCACCCAAAACGAGTTTGGAAGCTTGAAAGATGTACTTAAACTCTACGAAGGAGGGATAGAGTTGCCCAAAGGTTTACTGAAATCTGTTAGGGATAACATCCCTGTAGAGACAATCAAGGAACTTTTTCGAACTGATGGTGAAAAATTCCTGAAGTTTCCCGTGCCTCAAGTGATCAAAGGTATAACTAAGTATATGATGCAGCCACTTTCTTTTGTTAATATGAGTTTAATGACAATTTTCGTTCTCTTTGGGAAATTTTTATTAGCTTCCATGTAAGACCTTACTTTCGATGTAACGTCTTTCTTTTGCCTGACTGGTCTTTGAATGATTTGTATTAGAGGATAAATCAGCATGGAGAACTGATGAAGAATTTGCAAGAGAAATGCTGGCAGGCATAAATCCTGTGTCAATTCGCCGTCTCCAAGTAAGCTGTTGTCTACATTTGTTTTGAAGAATATGAGACACCAGAGATTTTACGTTTGGACTATATTAACTTCGACTTTTCATCCCTGATCATTATTATTTACTGAATAAACTGCAGGAGTTTCCGCCTGCTAGCAAGCTAGATCGAAAAGCATATGGGGATCAAACTAGTCGAATAACCAAAGAACAAATAGCTCATAACTTGAAAGGACTCAGCATAGATGAGGTAATTCTATTGACTAGTTTGTTTCGAAATTGAGTTTGAACCAAGTAGTCCTGAGGTTGCTTTGCAAGTTTGCAACCTTTTAGCTCGTTATATCATATTTGAAATAATTACTGAAAATTACTTTCTGCAACAGGCAATCGATAACAACAAATTATTCATATTAGACCACCATGATTCAATAATGCCGTACCTGAGGAGGATAAACGCAACTTCAACGAAAACATATGCAAGCAGGACACTCCTCTTCTTACAAGATGACGGGACTTTGAAGCCATTAGCTATTGAATTAAGCTTGCCGCACCCCGATGGAGATCAATTTGGTTGCACTAGCAACGTCTATACTCCCTCTAGCCAAGGTGTCGAGAGTTCCATTTGGCAACTTGCTAAAGCTTACGTGGCTGTGGTTGACTCTGGTTATCATCAGCTCATCAGTCACTGGTATAGCACTCGAAAAAAGCCTAGCAAATAAGTTCAAAAATTATTTTTTTTCCAAATGAAACTTTAAATGTGCTCTTTTTTGTCGCAGGTTGACAACTCATGCAGCGATGGAGCCATTTATTATAGCAACAAATAGGCAGTTGAGCGTGCTTCACCCGATTCATAAACTCCTTCATCCTCACTTTCGTGACAATATGAATGTAAATGCACTCGCTCGACAAGTTCTCATTAACGCTGGTGGAATACTAGAGGCAACACTCTTTCCTGCAAAGTTTTCAATGGAATGGTCGTCTGCAATGTATAAGAATTGGGTTTTTCCTGAACAAGCGCTCCCCGTAGATCTGATCAAAAGGTAAATCTTATGACAGTAATATTAATCATATGTGCATTGCCATTTAGAAACAAAGATGATAGCGCTTAAGGTAACTAAGTATCTACCCTTTGCTTTGTTCAGAGGAATGGCAGTTGAAGATTCAAGCTCCTCGCACGGCGTGCGTTTACTGATAGAAGACTATCCATTTGCTGCAGATGGGCTTGAGATATGGTCGGCAATCAAAACATGGGTTAAAGACTACTGCTCCTTCTACTATAAAACTGACGAAACCGTCCAAAAGGACTCGGAACTCCAGTCCTGGTGGAAGGAACTCCGCGAGGAAGGTCACGGTGACAAGAAAGATGAGCCCTGGTGGCCTAAAATGCAGACTCGCGAAGAGCTGATAGAATCGTGCACCATCATCATATGGATTGCTTCAGCCCATCATGCAGCAATCAATTTTGGGCAGTACCCTTATGGTGGATACCCCCCAAACCGGCCAAGCATAAGCCGACGGTTCATGCCTGAAGAAGGCGCTCCTGAATACGAGGAGCTCAAGACAGACCCCGAAAAGGAATTTTTGAAAACAATGACACCTGAGCTGCAGACCCTTCTTGGCATGGCCTCAATTGAAATCCTGTCAAGGCACTCGGCTGATGAGGTTTATCTGGGGCAGAGAGACTCCGCAGAATGGACAACGGACGCAGACATACTGCAAGCTTCTGAAAATTTTAGAAAGAAACTGAAAGAAGCTGAGGAAAGCATGAAGAGAAAGAACAAGGATGAGAAGCTGAAGAACCGCGCTGGACCGGCAAAGATGCCATACACTTTGCTCTATCCTTCCAGTGAGGCCGGACTTACTGGCAAGGGAATTCCCAACAGTGTCTCGATCTAATGCTTCTCTTTTTTGTATCCGAGTCCTTTGTCAGAATAAAACCAAACTTGTCCATGTAATTACTCTGCAGACAATGAATTAAATGGTCATCAATTCGCTTTTGTTCGCCTTGTCTTCCTCCATATTTAAATTTCACCGGAGAGCGATCAATGTACAAATTTCAACCTGGAATCCAGCTCTCAGCAACAAGCAGGGTGGCTTCTTCATCGCCGCCGTCCTCCTCCGTCTTCTTCAACACATGGGATGCTCAGACCATAGATTAAAAAATGGCCCATTTTCCCCGATGTTTAGGAATGATCAGGCTACCGACAAATCGAAATGCTTCTCTCAGGCAAGTGGGAGACACAACTGGCAAGACTTAGAGCAACTCCAGCGGAAGCTAGAGCCCAATGGACCGGCGACAGAAATGACCCAATAGTAGCCCCAGCAATCTGCTCCAGCCCATGCGGGCAATGGGGATCTGGGGAAGGATTTGGATCCTCTCATGAGCTAATGGAGAGGATCCTCCTGACCAATCATCTTAGGCTGTTGGATTTTTATCCAACGATAATAATTATAGCCATTGGATAAAAATCCAACGGTCCATGATGATTGATTAGGAGGATCCTCTCCATTAGCTCAGGAGAAGATCCAAATCCTCTAGGGAAGCCCAAGTGAGAGGCCCGGCTCGAATTGGTGGCCTGAGAGCCTGATGCCACGTGATGTAATGACGTCAGTTATATTATAAAATTATTAAAAAAATATTAAAAAAAAAGCAATAAGTAATGTAAAAAATAAATAAATATTGTAAAAATTAAAAAATATATGTAAACAATTAATAAAAAATCCGAAAAAAAATTTAAAAATTAAAAAAAAAGATTTAATTTTTCTATAAATATCTTATCATTATCTTCCACCTTACACCATAATTTTATATTTTCTCAAATACTTTGGGTTGTAATTTCTTATTTAATGAAACATGGTACAACAAGATCGATTAAAAATTATATCCGAAATTTGAAATAAAATTATTTTTTATTATTTTATAGAATAAAAAATACTAATATTTTATTATCTATTATCATGACTATTCAGTTTAGAGGTGAGAATGCAAAAAGCAATTACTGTTCACCGGAGGAGTTCAATAATGAATTGTCCTAAGGAACCTTTTCAACGCTGGAGTTGCTCTTCTGCATTCTTAATATGCATGTTCATACCTATTACATGTAAACTCTCTTCGCATTCCCATTGAAAATTTTGACCACTTACTTTGGAATTTGTATATCTTAATATTTTAGTTACAGGAGAACCTTCCTATGTACGACCAGGAAACAGAAAACAAAACCTCAGCCGTACGACCAAGATGCCTAAGCACCAAATTCAAAAGAGAAATCAAACCAAGAAGTCTAAAGAGGCAAAACTAATTCAATTAGGTATTTAAAAGATTTTAAGAGAGTTTACAAATTCAAGGGTATTGAATCAAGATTTTAAAAGAATTCATGGAAGTTCATGGGTATTAAATCAAAATTTTAAAAGAGTTCATAAAACTCGATAGAAATTTGGATGTATTCAATCAGGATTGTAAAGTAGTTCATAATACTCCATGTCTATTTAATTAGGAATTGATTTTAAACTTATAAAAAATTAATGATTTTGATGGATTTAAAAGGGTTTGAGGAAATTAGGATGCTCATTATGTGGTTTAACCAAACTCCCCCTCCCCATAGTGTAAAAATATCGGTGTACTCAAAAAAAAAAAAAAAGCATTTGAGGAAATTCTACCAATGGTCCCTCAATTTTAACTTAATTGGAGTAATGGTTCCTCAACTAAAAATGTGACCATTGGTCTCTTAAATCATCAAAACATGCAACTATGGTCATTTTCATCAACTCTGTTAGAATTTCCGTCAAAATGAGTCACATGCGTGGCACATGAGGCTGAATCAAGGGGCAAGAAAATTGGAGCAATGGTCCCTCAACTTTAACCCAATTGAAGAAATGGTCTCTCAACTTTAACCTAATTAGAGCAATGATCTTTTAACTCTAATCCAATTGTAGCAATGGTTCTTCTAACATGACTCATTTTGACTGAAGTTCTAACGGAGTTGACAAAAATGACCATAGATGCATGTTTTGATGAGTTAAGGAACCAATGGTCACAAATTTTTATTTGAACGATTATTGCTCCAATTGAGTCAAAATTGAGGAATCATCGCTAAAATTTTCTCAAATCCTTTTATTGTGTATTTAAGACTTTAAAAATCAGACATCTCCCTCCTAATTTTGAATGAATTCACAATCTATAAAACACCATCAAATTTCACGAATTTATAACTTTTTTAAGATCTTTCAAAATCTCAAATTGAATAGACCCTAATTCTTAATATTAGAAAAAGACTGGATGTTTAAGTATAATGTAGTTGAGTCAACCCCTGGAAAAAGAAATAAATTTTGGATAGAATAAGTTGGTGAAGTGTAAACAAAGAAGACCACCACATGAGGCCTAAAGACTGACCTGGACACCCAAGTCTATTTTTTATGAGTACTGGACGACTATATTGTACACTACACGCATATATGTACATATATATATAATCATCATGGGATGATTCAGTGATTAGAGATGAATTTCATATTCGTATTCTACATGGCACGATCTGAGTTTGATTTCCGGCATTAGTGAATTGCACAAGGGTGGGTTCAAAAAACCGAAAACCGAAAAAAACCGAAAACCGAACCGAACCGAGGCCGAAAAAAACCGAACCGAAAAAAAACCGAACCGAAACTGCCAAACCGAACCGAACCGAATCTGGCTGGTTCGGTTTCGGTTTTTAAGGTTCAGAAACCGAACCGAACCGAACCGAACAGATATATATTTAATTTTTTTCAATATTATAAATAATTTAGTGATACAATTATAACAAGACATAACCTGTTATCAAGTTGGTTTGCTTGAAACTTTTCAAGCCCCTACGCATGGGTTCGAATCCTCATGCCTCCAAGGTTTCAGAAATTTTTTTTAGTTTTTTTGAGCAATCAACAAACCTTTTAACTTTTTAAATAAATACTAAAAAACATGTTGGCAGCAGGCTTTATGTTGTTATAATTGTACCAGTAATATATTTATAGGTTGCTAATATTTAATGCTTTATAAAACCGAACCGGACCGAAACCAAACCGAGAAAAACCGAACCGAATACAAACCGAACCGAATACAAACCGATTGAAAACCGAACCGAACCGACCCGAACAGTAATTTCGGTTCGGTTTTCGGTTTTGGCAAAAAACCGAACCGAACGGAACCGAACCCACCCCTAACCATAGATGCATGTTTTGATGAGTTAAGGAACCAATGGTCACAAATTTTTATTTGAACGATTATTGCTCCAATTGAGTCAAAATTGAGGAATCATCGCTAAAATTTTCTCAAATCCTTTTATTGTGTATTTAAGACTTTAAAAATCAGACATCTCCCTCCTAATTTTGAATGAATTCACAATCTATAAAACACCATCAAATTTCACGAATTTATAACTTTTTTAAGATCTTTCAAAATCTCAAATTGAATAGACCCTAATTCTTAATATTAGAAAAAGACTGGATGTTTAAGTATAATGTAGTTGAGTCAACCCCTGGAAAAAGAAATAAATTTTGGATAGAATAAGTTGGTGAAGTGTAAACAAAGAAGACCACCACATGAGGCCTAAAGACTGACCTGGACACCCAAGTCTATTTTTTATGAGTACTGGACGACTATATTGTACACTACACGCATATATGTACATATATATATAATCATCATGGGATGATTCAGTGATTAGAGATGAATTTCATATTCGTATTCTACATGGCACGATCTGAGTTTGATTTCCGGCATTAGTGAATTGCACAATGGTGGCCAGGAAAAGACTAAAATGTCTCTTAAGTGTTTCAAGACCCCAGAAAAGTGAACTGATGTAGCAAAGCCACCAGCTGGTCGTCTTTTTAACAAGAATATATACATATATATACACACGCATACATACATTGAACAGTGAACTCATAAATCCTATAAATGTACCACAATCACACATCCTTCTCTCACATTCTTCTCACTGAGTGAAAAGTTCAGACCTTCTACATATTTTCAACTTATAATTTTTAGTTCTTGAAGCAGACAAAGATGCTGCATTGCAAGCATCTCAATCCTTTGAGCTTCAAGGTGAACACACTTGTTGCAGCAACATCCAACACACCAGTTCTGTTGCCTATGAGTGCTATGAAATTGCCTGGTTTCTGGTCGATGACCGATGTCACGAGATCTCCTCGAACGTTGACTTCAGCTTCGGCAGCTGCCAAGGCATCCCAGAACACCACTACCGTTGATGATCCACGCCTCAGAGAAATGGAGAAAGAGAAAACCAAAACTGAGGCCGGTCGCGAGGGCAAGAAGATCAAAGGAAGAGTGGTGTTGATGAAGAAGAATTTTCTCGGTTTTAATGACCTTAAAGCGTCGGTTTTGGATCGTGTGCACGAGCTGTTTCGCAAAGGGGTTTCGCTGCGGCTCATTAGTTCTGGTGAGAATACAACTTTGTTCTTTTAGTTTACTTCTTCATTAAAGAAAGTTGCATTACATTTTCATACCAGAAGACCCTGAAAAGAGAAAACAGAACTTCTCGATTTTAAACAACGAAAAAAGCACAGTTTGGAGGTCTTATCGCCGAACTTTTTGAGTTTTTGAATTCGATCTGTTTTTGTAGGAACTGAATTGCAAGGAGAAGTTGGAAAGGCGGCGTATTTGGAAAATTGGGTTAACACAATCACACCTTTAACAGCAGAGGAGATTACATTTGACGTTAGTTTCGATTGGGATAAGAAGATTGGAGTCCCAGGAGCACTCATAATTAGAAACGAGCATCACAGTGAGTTCTACTTGAAGTCTGTCACACTTGAAGATGTTCCTGGCGAAGATCGTGTCCACTTTGTTTGCAATTCATGGGTCTACCCAGCTAAAAAGTACCAAAAAGACCGTGTTTTCTTTG